TTAAATCCAAAAATTTAGTTGCTTACAAATTTCGACTCGCACTGTAATATTTCTTTCTTTATCTAGTTATCTAGTAAACTACAGCGCACTCAAATTTGAATATAAGATACATAGTTTTAATAAATTGTTTGTTCTCCATTTAGACAACCCAAGTCACTACAGAGTATTTTGAGCGGCATTAAAAATCAAAGTTTAAAATATTCACCAAGCAGAAGTTTTAATAAATATAAGTTTAATACAGTTTGGCAGTTTCAGTTGGTGTAATAAGGGAGAAATTAATTTATTTCAAAATACGTTTTACAATTGGGGATTGAAATAGCACCCTGTTAATTTCCAACTATAAACTTCTTTTAAGTGATGCCTCACTCACACAACTTAATATATTTTGTACTTTTAGCTGGATAAATAAAGGAGAAAAAAATAACTTATGAGGAAATAAAAACGACGTTTTTATATTGGGGGTTTAAGAAACAACTTAGTAATTTCCAACGATAAAATTAATTTAACTAATGCCCCACAATAGCTTTAATACATTTTGATACTTTCAGCTTGTTTAATATGGAAAAAAACTAATTTTAATTTTAAATAAAAGGTAAAAAAGTTTTCCTACCTCGTCAATGTGAATTGGTATGATTCAGAGAGAACAATTCTGGAATAACAACGTTGTACTGTTTTGTTCACTTCCTTAGTTAACAATCCAAAAAAATGAGACGAAATCCCGTACGTATATAGTTCGATAAACTGAAACAAAACGATTTTATTTTACAATTAATAAGCAAAAATGTCAACTAAAAATCTACTGCCATTTAGAATCGTAAACTGCGCAGTCAAAAACGTTCTTATAATAATGGCTTTTAAAGAATTTTACTTTATAAATTGAAATTAAAATAATATTGTCTGTAATGTACAACAAATAAAAAAAGTGTAATTCACAACCGCGTAAATATACACAATACTTTCGAACCGCTTGACTACAAACTCCAAGTTGTACTTTTTCGGCAGAAACGTAGCCAACTTTTTATTTCGTATGGATCAAGGGTGGGACACACCGTTGTAGATTTTACATATATAATTGTATACATGTAATTTAAAATGCTATGTATCTTGATAATATTATTCTAGTACGCAATTAGTCAGAAAAAGTCAGGAATTTAACAATTATATTCATCAAGAAAAAAATCGCAAAACCGCTTGATTTGAATAAAATAGGTATTGTTGCATGTATGTAGGCAACCCAACATACAGAGTGACAAAGAAGACCAAATTAAATACGTGACAGTATTTTTACATCATTAAATAATAGTTTTGCATTAAACAAATCTAATGTAGCACTAGCACATAGGTGTAAGTGAACTTTTATAAATATATAAGTTGATTTAATTAATAATCAGGTTGTTGGTAGTTCATTACAAAATTCGGGATTCAGTATTAAGAAAAGTGTTGTGACTTCCTTTTATTGCTCTACTGGACTGATTACGTTGCAATTTAATACACATATGAATTTCTGACTCAAACACGGTCGCATAACGCAAACAAATTAATTTTGAACATGGGGTCATTTTTGGAGAGCTAATAGGAAATTAAAAAAAAAGTTTTGCAAACTGTACCGCGTGACATATCAAATGAAAGGGCTTGTTGTAAGGGACTGAAATATATATTTTTTTCTAATTTTAAAATAAATGGCTTGGTTTTAAACTTTGAAAAATGCTCTGTAATTTCTTTTTCACAAAAAAGCCAGACAATAAGTCACAACTACACCTTAAATAACAAAGCCCTACATATATTATCGTCGGTATGAGATCTGGAAGTGGTCTTTGATCAAAAACTTAATTTTAAAGAATACATTACGTCTGTTGTTGCATCTGCCCATAAACAATTAAGGTTCATTTTTAGAAAAACTAGACGGTTCAATCTCTAATTACCCTTTATAATGCATTAGTCAATTCTAAACTTATATACGGCTCTGTGATTTGGTCTCCCTCAACTAAACAACTCTCATATCAAATTGAAAAGGTTCAACATCGTTTCATGCGTTTCATTTCCTGGAGGCTTTTTGATCAGCATGACTATCACCAGGTCTGCATGAAATTTAATCTTCCTTCACTTAAATCAAGTAGAATTTATCATGATCTGATGTTCTTATTTAAACTTTACAATAAAAATATTGATGCTCCGGAATTGTTTGAGAGATTCCAGATCAGAAAAACTTTACCAAATATTAGGAATAGAAAAACCTGTTTCAATTATGTGATAAAGAAGTCTGATTTGAAATATAAATCGATAATTGATCGTTTATCTTTAGAATTCAACCATTTGCAACTGGACGCAAAACAAATGTTGTACGAGGGTGGATTGATAAGTTTCCGGCCTGACCAAGAAAAACAAGGTTTTTAAAAATTTTTTTTTTTTATTTCTCAACATAATCTCCTCCAAGGCTGATACATTTCTCATAGCGGTGTTCCAGTCTATTAATGCCATCTCTATAGACTGATTCGTCAAGCTCCTCAAAATAACCATTTACAGCTTCGATTACTTCTTCATTGTCCGCAAATCTCTTACCGCCAAGCCATTTTTTGAGATTAGGGAACAGAAAATAGTCACTCGGGGCTAGGTCTGGAGAGTAAGGAGGGTGCGGCATCAATTCAAACTTTAGATCGTTGATTTTAGCCGTCGCAACGATTGACGTGTGCGCTGGTGCGTTATCGTGATGAAACAAGATTTTTTTCTTCGCCAGATGAGGTCGTTTAATTTTCACCTCGTGGCTCAAACGTTGCAATAAGTCTGCGTAGTATTGACCAGTGATAGTATTACCCTTTGCAAGGTAATCAATGTATATAATACCTCTTGCATCCCAAAAAACAGTAGCCATAACCTTGTTCGCCGAAAAAATTGTTTTTGCCTTCTTTGGAGTTGGTTCCCCTGGTCCAATCCACTGTTTAGACTGTTCTTTGGTTTCAGGAGTGTAGTGGTGGACCCACGTTTCGTCAACGGTTACGAATCGACGCAAAAATTCGCTTGGATTACGCTTATACAATGACAAATTTGCGGTAGAAATGTTTTTTCGAATCAATTTTTGGTCGACTGTTAGCAAACGCGGCACCCATCTTGCACAGAGCTTTTCCATATGCAAATGTTGGTGCAAAATATGTTGCACACGTTCATATGACATCTTACAGGTCTCAGCTATCTCACGCACTTTCAATCTGCGGTCTCCCAGCACTATTTGATGAATTTTTTCGATCATATCTGGAGTTGTGACCTCAACGGGGCGTCCTGAGCGAGGCCCATCAGAGGTGCTCACACGACCCTTTTTAAACTCGGAAACCCACTGCTTAACGGTTGAATATGACGGGGAGGATGTCCCCAGTGTTGAGTCCATCTCTTTTTTAATTTCCTTCGGCGTTAACCCCTTCAAATAAAAGTATTTGATGACAGCACGATTTTCCTGCTTTTCCATTTTTACGAAAACCACAGAGGCGTCTTGTTCAGCGTGCTGTCAAACCTACACTAGCAAGGAGATCGGGCTGAAACTATAGCTACAAGCTATCCAAGGATGGTACTATAGAATGTCACCTCAAGGTAGGCCTAGTGGCGTCATCTCTTGGTTAGGCCGGAAACTTATCAATCCACCCTCGTATTACTTGTAGCATATAAGTTCAATATATTGCTTTTAATTTTTATTAGCATCACTGCTGACTAAACATTATTATTTCTTTTCTCATGATAAGGTCCTAAAAGGATTAAAACTAAAAAAGAGGCTATTCGAAATCAAAATGTTTCATAATTGAAATTAACACTAAACTAGTAAAATTTCATTTATATTATTTATACTAATAATCAAAATAGGAACAGTCAACGGAGAACATGAACATCTGGAAATGTGATGTGAGATGTATACGCAGTTGTTAAAGATTGGCGAAATCACGAAAGGAGAGTGTAGAGGTGAACTACTTTTCTCTTATCTCAATATCACATTACATATCCAATAAAAATACTTAACAAACATTCTCAATTTTCAATACTATTAAAATAAAATTATAGAAGTTATTTTGATTAGAATGAGACAAACTTTGAAATTGCATAAGTAAGTATTACTCTTGACTAGTGGCGGACTAAGGCTAAAGCGGGCCCTAGGCAACATTGTAATTCCGGGCCTATTTTTCAGTCATGACACATGCGTTTGGTAGTTTCGTTTTAAAGAACATAATATGTAGTTCTATTTAATTATCGGATTCCAAGAAAAAAAATGAAAAAAATAATACACATACAAAAAATAAAATGAACATAATTTATTAAAACAAACAAACAATGGAAGCGGTACTAACAGATCAGTATTGTATAAAAAAAAAAAAAGTAAAACTAAAATACTAGTATGCAAGGGAAGAAAAAGTAGAGAAAGAGCGAATATAAAGATAGGAGACGAAAAATTAGAAGAAGTGGCTGATTTTAGATATCTAGGATAAGATCAGATCAGATAAGTCAGGACGGAAGGAGTAGTAGAGATATAAAGCAGAAGATAGCGCAGTGTCGAATCGCCTTCAATAAAAATAAGTCACTTCTATGCTCGCGTACGGTTAATTTAGAAATTCGAAAAAGATTGTTAAAGGCGTTGTACGGGTGCGAAACATGGACAGTGGGCGCGGCGAAAAAGAAAAGGTTAGAAGCTTTCGAAATGTGGTGTTATAGGCGAATGATGAGGATAACGTAGATAGAAATGGCTAGAAATGAAGCGGTATTAGAAAGAATAGGAGAACAGAAGACTCTATGGAAGTCAATAAAAAATAGGCGAGATAGGTTGGTAGGACACCTTCGTAGGCATGAAGGTCTAGTTAGAGACATATTAGAGGCAGAAACAGGAGTTAAGAGGGGTAGAGGTAGACCTAGGTTAGATTACTGTTCGCAAATAGTTAAGGATGTAGGTTGTTCTAGTTTTAGGGAAATGCAAAGATTAACTCAGGATAGGAAAGAGTGGAAGCACGTGTCCAACCAGTCTTAGGACTGACGACTTTATGATGATGATGAAACAAACATAAACATAATTTATTAAAACGAACAATAATATTTAAACAAATATACCCAGATTGATTAGTTATATTGCCTTTTTTAAAAACCTAATTTTCGGGCTCCAAAAATTACGGGCCCTAGGCACATGCCTAAGTTGCCTAGACCTTAATCCGCCCCTGTTCCTGACGATGCTCTTATAAAGCGAAATACATACGTATCGAGGATTGAATAAATGTACGTGAAATTTTCAAAATTGTTTCATTCTAATTGTAATTAGGTTTCATCAAGTGATAACGGAAAATTCTTTAAATTTATTATTATACTATTAACCAAATAAACATCAATAATTCTCCCCACAAAATTTAAAATTCACCTACGACGATACCGTAAAGAAAAAATCCTACTAGGAAATATTCCTAAACTAAACCTAAATATTTGTACTCATATTAACACTTAACTAATTATATATGTATATGTATCATTGTTGAAATATTTAAATAATACAATATAATTAAATATTTTCCTTATTTCTAAATATTTTATAGGAAAATCAAAGGTGATTAATCTTCCCTTGATATATTGTAAATAAAAAAATTAACCCTTTTTGGCTTTTGATTGTTTTACTTATTAGTTAAATTTTAAAATATTACGAATTAAACTTTAACCATTTGGAGCCATTTAACTATTACGCCATCGAGGGCAAGAATAATTGACAATTGAATAAATAATTTATGATGAACTAAAAACTATTGTGACATAAAATTTAAATATTTCCACAGAATCCTTTTTAAGTAAAATTTTTACTCCCATGACGTTTTTTTTTATAACACCTTTTTGGGAATTTTGGGATTGAAGTGAATAAATAATGCTTACTTTGCTTTGGAACTGCGATTACAACTGTCCTCAGAATTCCTCCATTGGGTGTACCATAAGAAACATTACGATAGCTACGAACGGCTCTGTGGAAAAAGATGGTTTTATGTCACAAAAAATTATCTTCTCAACACTTATCATAAACGGACGAGCAAGGAGAATACGACATGCTTTCTTTTAGTTTTAAATTAGATTTCGTTTGATACACACGACTTTATATTGGCTATAGGAAAAATTACATCAACTTTTTGAAGAAATGGACGAATATTCTCTAGCTGTATTTGAAGACGGAACGACTGAAATGATTCCTAAATCATGGGTTCAAGATTATCTGACGAAAAACGACCCGTCCAGTTCGTCTAATGGTAATTATTTTATACTGTTGAACAACCTTGATAATATTATGGGTAATTTAAATGAAATTACAAATGCCTTAATGAGTTTCTATTTTGACAGAAAATTCGAGTGACTTGGAAGAACCTCCCAGTAAAATTAAAATAAGTAGCAAAAGTTCTAATTACTTAAAAAGAGTTCCTTCTTTGATAGATGATGAAGAATCAAAGGAAGATTATATCAGTAAGTATCTATTCTAGATACTATTTTGCATAAGAATTTAGTTACTTACTCTTTTTACCGTTAATTTTTAAAAATCAGTTAATCTGAACTGTCAATTCTTGTAATTAGAATAAAAGCAGTTAATCAATTTATTTTACTTTGTGTATAGGATTAAAAATTAGCAAATTCTGAATTTATAAAACACTGAAGATCATCAGTAAATATGTTATGTTATCTGAGAAAATGACACAACACTTTTTTAATTAATTTGATAGATTTTGTTTTCTTTTTTTTTTTAAGGGAAATCGATAGATTCAATTACTAAAACTGTTTTGGAAAATAAAGCAAAAATCGAAAAATTACAAAATACGGTGGAAAATCTGATCGCAACGATAAACTGCAGTAAAGAAATTGAAAAAAGCAGTTTGGTTCTGTTCTCAACAACTGAAAACAAGTTAAGCCTTGCCCGGTTACAAAAAAGCGTTGATCGCTTGATTTGTATCGCATCCGGAGAACCCGAACCGGAAATAAATCTCTCGGAACCGGCAGAGACTTTAGACGAATTTCTTCAAATAGAAGATTACATAAAAATGAAACAAAACTACAACGATCTGGTTGGTAGAATACTGCTTAAAAAATTATATAAATTAGCAGACATCGCAATTTATCTATTAAGTAAATTAGCTTCTTAAAGTTAGTAACAAGCAAAAGAAAAGATATTTCACTCTAAAATAGAATTAAAATTAATGAACTTAATAATATACCTATTTAATACAAAGTAATAATTATTTTCTTAACTTTAGGTGTGTTATCTATCGAAAATTGGCGGAAAAACAGTAGAATCAACAACTAGAAAAATTTGGAAACGTCTCTGTTCAACACAATTGGCTTCAAAAATATGTTGGACTGGTGCAAATGGAAAGTATTGTTTGAAAAATCTAACAATTAATAATTTAGTAAGAGGTAAGTGGACCACAACACATTAGTGTTAGGCCTACTGAAAATGATTTACTTTTAATTGTTTCGAGGTTTTTATAGAACCTAAATAATTTTTTTTTAATTATAGATGCAGTTTTAATAACCCACCGCGATGGCAAAGAATCTGAAATCCAAAGGGCAACTATGCTATGGTTTTCCCATGCACAAGACCGTTTAAGAGCGAAAAAAAATTCAACCCCTCTTATTGGATTCAAAAATGCAATTTAATGTTGTAATTTTTATAATTATCAATGTAGAATATTAATTTATTTTCCTGATTTGAATACTTTTAGGAGTTACATTTGTTTTTGTTTTATTTTTGTTAGAAAATACTGTTTTTAGTTTATTATAAAAAACTAAATAAAAACTATCTACAATCGATTACTTCGCTTATTTTGAAAATTTTACTTCTCAAATTATTTATTAAAAAGAAAATAGTAATTTATGGGTGTTATTAACATATATAACCTTTCTAATTACAATCTTGAACTGTTGAACTATTAACGTTTTGTTATTTTTAACAGTACGTCGATAAGTTTCTTTATAAAATACATGACAGAACTTGTAACGTAAAGTATTTCTTGCAATTAGTGAAATGTATTACTGAAATTGAAAAACAAATTATTTTAAGCCAATTTGGGCTAGTTTTAAGATGCATTTTGATAAGATGTATCAAACCATACGCAGGCTATTTTACAATCAAATTATTTTCCACACTAGCTGACAATAGATGCATATAAATGTTTTATAAACCACGTATAAATAAACCGTTTTGAAATAAGAATAGTGGGAGAGGTCATCTTTCTTCTGTTTTTACCAGATCGCATCGTTTCTTTTCTTTGTAGTGTCCGTTTTCATTAAGTGATGTTAATAAATGCACTACTCTGTATTTACAGTATTTAAATAAACAAGGTAAGTTTTATTAAAAAAATTAAAAATCGATTACTTTGTAATACTTTTCAAAATGAAAAAGCATACCTACAATACAGTAGACTACAGCGCACTCAAATTTGATTATACATAGTTTTAATAAATTGTTCGTTCTCCATATAGACAACCCAATTCACTACAGAGTATTCTGAGCGGCTTTAAAAATCAGAGTTTAAAATATTCACTAAGCAGAAAATTTAATAAATATAAGTTTAATACATTTTGGCAGTTTCAGTTGGTGTAATAAGGGAGAAATTAATTTATTTCAAAATACGTTTTANTAGTATTTGATTTATTCTATTTACAATTAGAATAAAATTTAAGTGATATACTTTTGCTATTTTTAAAATAATGCAAATATAAATTATTGTAAATGCCAAGTCGGACACTACATGTAGGAGACAAAGACGATTTTACGTAGACAGACGAGTGCGACAAAGAGCGCTTATTCAAAAATGTTTTACAGGGTGTTTAAAAAATTGGCCTCTAAAAATAAGTGGAATACCAAACCAATTTTGTTTGGCAACCACAAAACTATCAGGTGAAAATATTACATATTAGTCATTAATTCCACGAAAATCTCTAAAGTTATATGTTTTCAAACAATTAAAAGTGATTTCTTTGTAATGAATTATCTAACACAAAGTTGCTTTTCAGATTCAGATGTTTTTAAAATTAGAAGAAATCCTAGTTCTTTTTATATTTGCCAGCACCTCTGTCTTACAAGTATCAGGATGGAATTTTCCCGAAGAAGCTGATAAAACAGCAGGAGAACGTCGTGAAAATTCTTATGTTACCGAAAAAAGCCCTTCTGCTTATGACAACTACGTTGGTGACGTAATATCTAACGGGATTGCAAATTTAACTCTATCCATAAATAATGCGCTTTGCAACGATCGCTTTTCCAGCAGAAAAAATATTGTATTTTCGCCTATAAGCATTGCAGGTTTAATTAATTTATTATTTAAATAATTTATTAAGTAAAAGACTTCTACAGTTAAACTCTTTTCTTCGTATTAAATCTAAATATTATCGAGATTCACTACAAAGTAATTTTTCAGTGCAAAAGTAATGAAAAATAAATGTTAAAAATTTTACAGGTTTTTAAATGATTTATTAAGTCAAACGCATTCGCCCTTATCTCTTGATTAAATTATTTTATCAATAATAAAAATTTGGAATCAAAGGCTTGCAATTTTCACTACATGATTTCTTAGCATCTTCAGGTGCTTATACACATATGTATGCAATTTGTAATTAAAATGAGTTTTTTTTTAGTTTAACTACATACTTCATATCTGCATAAGCTTCTGCAGAAGTCCTAAGATAGTTAAAATTACAAGTGTTTCATTCCAACTTTTTTGTATTGAAATGATTTATTGATATATTGATATTTAATTCATTTTAGGGGCACTAGCTTTAATACTTCTGGGAGCAACCGGTTCAACTGAAGATGAGATTGCCCATATCTTGGGAATAATATCAGGAACTAATATACATAATAAAACCCTAACTTTCCACGAACATGTTGGAAATCTCTTTAATAAACTTCACAGATCTGACTCTTTAGCTACATTAACTATGGCAAACGCCATTTTTATACAGGACGACTTTAAAATAAGACAAACGTTTAAACATATTAGTGAGATTTTATATAAAAGCGAAATCCTAAACGTTAATTTTAAAACCGATTCAGTACGAGCTCGACAAACTATTAATGATTGGGTTTCCGAAAAAACAAATTCGAAAATAAAAAGTATTTTAGATGATTCTCCACCAGAAAATACTAAATTAGTTATTGCGAATGCGCTATATTTTAAAGGCCAATGGGAATTTCCTTTTTTTCAACGAGCTACAGCAAGGTAAATACAATACCCATTATTAAAATAATATTTTGATAGCTAGTTGCAATTTATACGTATTTAACAACAAAAATTGTCTGCCTAGTAAATATTTCCTAATCATCTAATTCCGATGACAAAAATAACTTAAAATTACTTTTATCTTATCAAGTTAGTACCTAATCTCAAAAATATGTAAGTACCTAAATAAACGGAACGTTTTAAAATAAAAATTGAAATCAAAAACAAAACTTGCTAAAGATGTCACTAATATCGACAATTTGAAATTATTTTAGGCGCCAATTTTTTTTAAACGGAAGACAACAGAAAGAAACAGTAATGGTTGATATGATGGCAAATAGTGGACTTTTCCCTTATTACAAAGATGAATCATTAAATTGTGAAATAATGGGGTTCCCCTACAAGGGCAGCAAAATGACGATGTATGTAGTAATGCCAAAAGATTCAAACGCAGAAAATTTAAACACTCTTGAAAGTTCATTAACGCCATTCAAACTAAGAACATTAATCAAACAAACGAAACACACGGATGCGGTAATTCTATTTCCGAAGATGCATTTGGATAGCTTCATAGATCTTGGATCAACTTTCCGCAGTTTGGGTTTACGCTCACTTTTCAACCCTTCAGAAGCCAATTTGGCTCTAATGACTGAGGGAGAAGACGTATTCTCATCTTTTCAAAATAAACTACATGCAACAAACGATGTAAATGTGACAACTTTCGACACGTTCGAGAATTTAAGACAACTTACAAATTCGAGAACTTTAAAAAATCCAGGGCTTTATGCGGATAAAGCAATTCATAAAACCTTTATGGATATAACAGAAACTGGAACGGAAGCTGCCGCAGCAACTTCAATTAGTTTGGCAAGAAGTAGTGATAAAGTAGTTTTTAGAGTTGACGTTCCTTTCTTCTTTTTTATAAACGATGACCTAACCAAAGTTATTTTATTTTGGGGTACTGTATACAAGCCTACTCCTTATTACTAGGTTATTTATTTTGTTACATGCATTTTTGTGTACCTGGTGTAAATAAATTCGTAAATAGACCAAAATTTTACGATTTTTCAAATACCTGGACAAAATTACATTAGTTGAAGTAAACGGTGGTTAATTGAAATAAACAGTGTATTTAATACACCAAAATGTCCAATTAACAATCACTCACTCTTTAAAATAAACGTTTCCATCATATTTTTTAAAAATATAGTAGGTACTTACCGAATTTTTGTTTATATTTGTATTTCTCTAAACGTTGTTATCGTTTTAAAGTATCATACTAACAAAAGTGCCCTAAAGCGAGTATAGACTATAATTTCAAAAATGCATTAGAAAAAAATGCCAGTTCTCTGTTAGTATCCACACAATAAAATAGCGGTGTATTTTTCTCTTCGGCAACAGATGTCAGCATATAATTTTCTGTAATCAATATACATATTATGCATCTATGATTCATTTAGGAAATCAATTAATTGTACTTCAAACATTAAATATAACACTTATTCATGTCGAAAAAAATACTTTTTCATTAAAACTACTCAAACTAACATTTAAAAACAAGTAGGAACGTAAAATCCATAGAAAACGAGTTCAATGTTGTCAAAGCATACTTTTGTAAAGTATCATTTCTTATTTTAATATTTATTGTGTACTTCATTGTATAAATGAGCAGCACGTTTTAAATATACAAAATTAAAGTAGAAAACGAATCTCTGGGTAAAAATATTATGTTTGCTGTATAACATATACATATCTTTAGGTATGCAGGCCAAAACGCCACAACAGTATTATATTTTCGGTATACAACCTATTTAATATAAAACAAAGTATACCTCTATAATGAAAACTAATTAGAAGTTTTACAATCAAATACGCAAAATACCGAATGTTAATTCTATATTTGATATTTAGTATTCATAAAATGTACACAAAATATACCTGGCAACGTTGTTCCTTGGTCACGTGAATTCAAACGCGCGAATCTGACCGGTCCGACTTTGCGCCTAGCAAGCAGCAGGTAAATGGAATTTATTTAGCAATCGTTGTCAGTTACTCGGCGTCTTGGTGTGAAGAGTCGTTGTCACATTTTCAGCAATACTTTTGCCAAATTTTCGTGATCACGATAATCATGAAGGATTCATTAAACTTCTTTTTACCCATCATGGAGGAAGATGATACAAGCGTCATTTCAAATAGAAACGAACTCAGAAGTATAACGAACATATCTTCAAATGGTTATTACGGTTATCAGCCGGTTGTGGAAAAACACATACAGAACGGAATCAATTGTGAGCAAAGTATGGAGGTCCAAATGTCAGACTCTGATATACAATTCAACAATTTTATACCGGTCGAAGAAAATTGTCAACAACAAAAGGAAACAATGGATAATCGCGACAAATTGAAAAGAAAGCGCTGCTGGGGCTACGATTACGAAACGGAATATCCCGAATTTAAAAAGTGGCGCGAAAATGGTAAGTTTGCTTTATTAATTTGTTTTGGGTGTAGTACTACTTACCGAATATTTTAGAAAACGAAGTTCTTTGTCCTACAGTACCTACACCCAATTGTCATGTTCATTTAAGTAAACCAACCCATAATATTCCGGATTTACCCCGTTGCCTTACGGGACATTATATATAAGTCTGTTTTTTTTAAGTCAAATTGTTTATTGTACTAAGTCTATTAAACTTGCTCCAGTACAATGTATTTAACATTTCACTCTATAAACAATTTATTGATTTATATAGTTTAATTGTTAATCTAAAATAAATTTGTATAAAAAAGTTACCTTTAATAAAAGTAATAGAATTATGACCGATTTAAATTTATTCTTTTTATTATTGTTAGCATTATTCTTAAACTACTTTTTCATAGACAAATTGTTTAACAAAGAAAAAAGACGGAATACCGAAAAAAAATCAGCAACGGAAGGAACGCCACATAATGGATTATTAGAAGATTTATTGAGGGAAATTCATGGATGTAGTTCCTATCACTGGATAAGTGAAAAATTAACAGTATAGTGGTATAGGTAGTTTACGTTTTAGTATATTCAGTTGATGAAGTCATTTAACCCTTCGTCATCACTATATTTAAGTTTTATATTAAAGTTTGTATTTATCTTTTTTAATATTGTAAATAAACAATTTTTTAACGCCCGGTTTTTGTAACAAACGGAAAACAGATGGAAAGCAATTCTACATACATATATATTTTGTATATGTATAAATGCGTACCCATATATTACCTTGCTACTTCCTCTCTTTTTCTCTCCCAGTATGTATGTGTATACCAGTTAACGTAAATATTGTGGTTCTTTCGAAAGCTACCCTGTAGCTTTGGCACATGCCCATCAATACGAAGTTGGCCCCAATACCGACTATGTTCGATATGAGCTAAATAGCATTTTTCTATATTAATATAGGTACATGCAAAATATATAAATATTAAAATATGATTTCAAAATAAATATAATATGGTAATTCATTGTAAACGGTAACATTTTACCATTACTTTCATATATTACACACACACACTTGTAGTTAAAACTGGTTTTGATACAAATATTACTAAAGGTACATAAGTTAAAAACAAAAATGTTTCGTCCGTTTTCATGTAAAACAAAACATTTATGTTCATTACATAAAGTATACAGGCATGTGCACTTTTCTGCGCATTTTCGATGTTCCCCATAACTACTATTTAAAATTAACTTAAAATTAGTACTACGCACGTTCCATTGATGTCAGAATCAAAAATATCTCTTGTGATATACTTACTTGGGACGTACTGTAGACAGTAAATTTAATAAATTGAATTATGCTATTTGCGCTTTCTGCTGTTTTGTAAGTAAATTCAAATGTATGAAAGTATCCTGCTTATTATTTGATATAGTGAACGCTAATGCGACAGGGGGAAAAGTACTATTTACGATACAATGAATTTATCAAATGCTGAAGGACATTTTGTATCTATAAATAAGTATAATGCATTAGTATATTTGTCTAAATTTGCGTGAAGTGATATACGAACATGCGTAAAGAATATCTAGGAATAGGCAACATAAGTCGGTTAACGAAACAAGAATGGAATACAATATCTACAACCGTCGCATTTTCCTTTAGGTTGAGAGTATATTAAATTTATATACAGGTGAGGCACAATACGGACCAAAAAGAAATTACACATCTCTTTGTCGGCATTTTTTCTTTTTACATTGCAAATCAGAAAATATCACTTGCTTGTCTAAAAACTGTCTTAACCTAACTGAACTCTCAAAATCTTTTGAATAAAACGTAATAAGTACCCGCTAAAAAATTTAAAATGAGTTTATTAGACTATTACTTTATTATTTATATAAAAAGATGGTCGAAGTTATTTGCACGAATTTTTTTAAAAAATGACGCCAGCCCTTGGTGATTGCTTTAATAGAACATCTCTGTATTCGGTTAACATCTCGCCACTACTGTATACAGACGTAGGTGGGTTCGTAGAATTTCTTTTATGTTAACGATAATATGTATATTTATACATTTATATATTCGTACTAATGTAAGTACACTCTACACTATACATGCATGTGTAGCATAATTATTGAAAGGATACTAATTTTCTCAAATTAATTAGTAATTGAGTTGTTTGGTTAAGAGGTGGTGTGAAAGTGATTCAAAATGAAAATAAATTAGTTACACCACTAATTCAATACCTTTCTTTACTATTTTCTTTACTTTTTTATCTACTTTAACTGCAACATACATATACAATTTTTATTTTCTTCATATTTATGGCACAATAAGTATCTTTCGAATGATAAAAGATTTATTTCTCTCCTTCTCTAAATACCAAAAAAAAAATCCAGCAATAGTTTTGACGATTCTGAATTCACTCAGACAATCAAAAATTTGAAAGAAATAATTACATTGACACTTAGTTTATTATTATTTCGTTTACTGCGGGGATTTAAGTTTATATCGGTTATAAAAAAGTTATACTTATACTGATATTTACTAAAATTAAAATCCTATATTATTTCAACTTGTCTACCTAAAACGCGTATAATTGTTTATTCTGATTAACATAAACCTGCATTTTAAAACTTTCAATTCTTGATTATTATACAATGAGAGGTAAATCCAGAAACATTATTTATTTCAAAATTGTCATTTCAACAAACGCTCAAACATACACATCTAGGAAACTATTCAAAGAACTTAAAAATAATACAGAGATGAACAAATCCTTTTCATTTTATTTCGATTAAGTCTTTACCTTTTCCGTTTCTTCTTTCCACGACTCGGGGTTCCAGAATGGGGACGTGAGCTAGTCGTTAATCGGGTAGGAACTTGATCCAGACCCTGTTCCTCTAGATCTGCTTCAACCTACACACACAGTGGAATAAAAAGTAAAAGAGCAAATTACCCCCTAAAAGCTTGGCAAGTAGCAGCCGATTGTTGTATTAATTTATGGGAACATATTTTAAAAGTAATTACCTCCGTACTAACCGGATATTCTAATTTTACTGTAACTGAATCATCTTGCACTACCTAAAAATAAAATCGAGTTATAAACAACTGTCGAATAACAGCTCAATTTTAATATAAAATTTAAGCATGATATAATCAAGGCCGCCGAAAAGGTGAAAATGTAAAGTTCCAATCTAAACTTTAAAAAAATCAAATTTTTTATCATTAAAATACAAATAATTATATTCTGAAAGAATATATTTTGCATGTGAAATAATTTCTCTCGACTACCCTACATATAGTGCAACGAAAATGAGAAATAATTTGGTTTAGTTTAATTTAAATTGATGCGCACAAAGATCGACTATAAATTATAACTTTTTTATGTTTTCATTATTACCATTTCTAAACCGCTATTAGAAGAAATAAACGTGTACATTGAAAAAATTAGCAACCACACTTTTAAGAAAAAGGCACTATGGTTGTTTATAAGAATTACTGCAAACAAATATCTTCCTAAATGAACGAAGAGCCCTGAAACTATTTTTCGAAGAAATTAGAAGTTTCTACCAACAGAATTAATTTATCGTCAAAATATGATACAGGAATTTGTACTGGTTTACATGTAAATAAATAACTGTTTTATTTTTATAATTAATTTCTTAATTGTAAACTATTAAATAAAAACAAAATTTAGTTTTAATCAATCAGAGATATATGAAGGTTAAAATAGAAAATTGAAGTTTATATATTTTTTTCATGATCGACTAAATAGTAAAAATGTTCAATAACTTACTATTTCTTCGTTACCCACATCTTCCACGAACCCAATTCCGCCGACTGCTCCCTCTTCTTCAATCCCGATATGACTCTGATCGGCCTCAGCAAGATCACCGTTTTGTATTTGCGGCGTTATCGCTTCATCGCCGATAATTCCATTATTACTTTGGTCACCCGCAGTATCAAGTTTAATTAAAAGGACATTTTCATCGGTACTGGTGGCTAGCTGTACTGAATTTGGCTGAATCATGGTAGATTCTCGAGTTTCTGGAATATTTTCCTGCACTAAATGAATAAAGGAAAATTCTCCCAGCAAGACTTCTGTTATGGTTCGAATAAGCTCTTTCCGGATTTCTTGCACCCTATTCATAAAAATACTAATAAAATCTAGAACCATGCATGTTGCGTGTAACTAACAAACCTTTTTCCTTGGAATTTATACAATGCCTCTGTTATAATGGCTGCGAAATGTTTATGGAAAGTGCTTTCCTGGATATTTGTATTAGCGAATATTTCACCAAAAGGCATAGCCTTTATCAAGAGCGCTTTTAGCATTTCTAGAAGTTCTTCTTGGAAAATATCTTCATGGTGTCTTTTTAGAAAGGGGGCTACAATTCTGATTATGTTATTTACATTGTTTACATCTGGATCGTTGGCTGTTTCAATGTCCTATAATAACAATCTTAAATCACACAAAAATGTTGATATTAAATTACTCTATCAAACCATGTTAGAGCTTGTTTGGGAAGATGATGCGGGAGATTGGGGCCAACCAGTACCATTATCCAAACAAAAAAATTCCTGTTTTACTTGAGTATTTCTTTCTTGTGTTGCAACTTGATTAACTGAAGTCTAATAAAGTATTTACATTTAACTTTACCAAAATTCTAATTACTATACGTGCTTTTTGCGATCGTTTTACCACACAGTAACTTCATCAAGTAGATGAATTATAATTACTATAAAATTGTGGTCAATAAAAATTATTTTGAAACTCATATTAGTTTATTTTTTTAGATGTTAACATATTTGTTGTTATTATTAACACTTTACCTGAGAACTAACTGCCTTAATTGTGTCTGAATAACCCATTGGGTTGGTAATCATTGTCTGGATAGAATGTAATGTCCTATGACGAAGCGGATCTGAATTCACTAGCTGCAAATCTCTAAAAAGCTGTATAAGAAAGTGTGGTCTCGTTTCGTTGGCGGATATTAGATTCGCTACTTCCTTGTAAACACTATCTCGCAACTGTTCGAAAAGTTTCGATCTAAAATTACGTAAAATAAAAATGTAGTACTTTTAACTGTGTATACATATTTCTTATCCTTATACTTCGGAGAACTGTTGCTGCTGTCCTCGCCTTCGTTCCACTCGTTCCTGTTTCTATGAGATGGCAATTCTTTGACGGACTCGTCTGAAGTGTTAGAGACGGCAGACACCCGGCGTTCAAATGATCGCTTGCTTCTGATATCCTCATCTTGACGATATACACGAAAGTTGGGTTTTCTAATTGTTGCGGCCTGGTTTTGTTCTTGTAGCAAATAATAATTGAACTTTCGATCTTCTTCGGGGGGTTCATTTGAATCCGAAGGTAAACGAAATTTGAACTTTCGGCTTCCGTTGCTGCTATTTGAAAAGTTTGGATTCGAAGATGAAGACGAACACGTGCAGTTTGCTGTTTCCTCATCGGCTACATGAGTAACGTTCAGAACATCCGGTGGAATTAGCGAAGGTGATTTTCCAGGGTTTGAAGTGACAGAATTAGATGAGGGTTTATTGGAATGGACTTGGCGGATATGATTTTCAGCAATTAGGTTGGAGGACTCGTTTTGAGCAGCGTTAGATTTTGGAAGCGTGTAGTTAGTGCATTGGGAATGTGATCGTTCTTGATGTGTCCTGTTCGATCTTTCTGGCATTCCCGAAACATTTTGAACGCCCTCATTACTCTTTGAGGTTGACAAAAGATTCTGGCGAGAGTAACTGGAAAGATATATAAAAATGCCAAAAGCATCGCCCTTGCAATGTTACATCTTTTTTACAGAATGCAACCAATACTTTTAAATTAAACCAATGCATCAATACAACACGCATCCACTATATTATTGTTTTAAAAAAATCTTAGATGAAACGATGTTAAAAACAATTTAAGAAAAAAAAATAATAAAATTTGTTCAAACATAGCAAGCTTAAAACGCAAATACATACAACTACTTACTTACTAGCTAATGCTGTATCATATTTATTTCTCTCCNGTGTCCACGTCTGCATTGTTGATTATTTTCTTTATATCTTTATATTTATTTTTTTAACATATTTTTGCAAATTTAATATTTCAATATACGAAAATCGATTCTGGGTTTTTTGTAATTATTCTCAAGAAAACTATCAAATAATTTAAATAAATTTAGCGCATTTAAATACAAATGTTTTGGATCAACTATTAAATAAAATAGAAAATAAAACAGCATTAACAAAAAAAAATAATATAGATTTAAAATAGAAGAAAAACACCTACCTACGGAAATTATCCCAGTAGTTGTTGGCCCGATTGCCGGGGGCTACCTGATTATTAAGCGCTTGTCCGTTCCACACTTGTCCGGGTAAAGGCTGCTGTTGGTGATGATTGATCGCGGTGTTAATATTGTGCAAGCCGGATATGTTACTAGGATGATTATTAGTAATAGACTGCTCAATTTGATTGTTCTGCATGTTATTGAAGTTGGTGGTTTCAAGCATACGCACACTGTTACGATTTTCATATGGCAATTCGTTGTTTTGTGGTTGATGCGTATGCACCTGCGTTTGAGGTGATATGTAAGACTGGTTAAGGTTAGGCATCGAACATGCTGCAGCCACTGGTTGAGGTTGATGGTTGACTTTCGGATTAGGGGGATTGTGGAGTGGTGAACGGAAAATTGAGGTAGAAGGCGGAGCCGAATTAATAAATGGTGGCAAACCAGTTGACGAATCGGAGAGCCCGCGGAAAGTTTGATCTAACGCAGCACCCCCCGGTATCATGCGATCTTGCATCTGTAGGGGAAAAAATAAAGAACGCTTTTCTTATTTTAATAAATGTTTAAAAAAAACTTACCAATGTTATTGTGTGTCTGAGTGAAGCAATCTCTCTCTGCTGGAACCATAGCATTTGACAGCATTGATTAAGCGTGTTTAATAAAAACGCTTGAAGTTGCAAAGTGTTTGCAGCCAACAGATTTTGGTTGTTGTTGGAGACGTCGTTATTAAGGCCATAACAGTGACCATTCATACCAGCAGGAAATCCGGGAATTTCTGTGACTGGGTTCACTACATTCAATACACTACTCTCACGGGTGCCTGGGGACGTATATCGTCTAGGTTCGGCATAAAGTGGCGAAGGGGTATGATTGTTTCGATTGCTTCCCGTTGTGTTATTGTGCTGTTGTTCAATTAAAGACTGGCACATTCCTTGAATAGTTTCTAGTTGTTTCTGAATCTAAAAAATAATATCAAATCTTTATTACTACAATTATTATAACTTCGGAAAAGTACCAAAACATTTTTTTAAACTACTGTAAACATTAAATTAAACACAGAGAAAACGTAAGAATTTTTTTTGACGTAAATTGTTTCAATTTTTTTTAAAGCTGAATGCTAAGTGTATACTTACTTCGTTTTTGCTCTGAGAGTCGTTTATACTTGTTGAACGATCTTGATGCCTGTTGAATGATGCAGCAACTGAAGTTGTGGCATTAGATCTACATTCAGAACTTCGCGAAGCAGCTGGTTGAAAACGAGCAGAATAATCAACAACTGGATTTATCGACAAACCGATTTCTTCCTCTCTCTGTTTCGAAAGACGACTATGAGTACGAGGCTCGGTCTTAATTTCAGAGTATTCATTCACATCTTCGGGAAATTCGTCACTACTAATCAGAATAATCACATAAGTAAATGAAGATTGTTTAAAATCATTTTCAGTTACCTAGAATAAAACGACGATCTTCTGTTCTGCCGATTAACAGATGGTGGTAACGAGTACCCAGAAGGAGCACCCTCAAAGCCACTCATTTCTGATTTGTTTATAGAAGACTCACTGCATATATCATTATTAATTAATGTGCGATCTGAAATTAACAAAAAATATTGAATTTTACAAATCGGTTATGCAAATTAAGTTAAAGGTTAACTTTTGTATTACATCATTTAATCATCAGCATTTTATTTTTAATAAGTTTAATTATTTTGAAGCAAACCTAAAAATATACAGTATAATATCTTCAAATAACAGTTTTAAAATACCGAAAAGTATTTCCGTACACATATATTGTATTTTTTTAAAAATAATATTCAACAATGGATTTACCTTTTTGTTTGAAAATAATCTCTTCTAATTCCCTCTTCTTTGCTTTCAATTCGGCAAGCATTTTTTCTCGTTCTCGTATGTTACTACTGATTTTGTTACTTTCTTTTTCAATGGGATACTGTTCTCCAGTCCGAGCATTATTATCAATTCGAATTGTGTTATCGCACATTATATTCGGCTGATTAGTATGAATATTTTGACGAATATTATCGTTCTTTTCAACATAAGTAAAGTTCTCTGGACATTCGGAATCAGTATCGTTACAATTTTGAGCCTCGACAAGTCTCAATTCCGCATTTTTTACAATTTCAAGCATATCTTTGAGTTTAGTAAGCTGTTGTTTCATTGTAACTATTTTTCGAACTTGCTGGCCAATGTCTTCGTCTTCATTATCCTCATTGAGATTCTGCAATTCACTAGCCAGTTGATCAATTTGTTGCTTTTTCGTTTGTAATTCATTCAACTTCTCTTGGAGTTCCAAATGTTCAGAGTTAAGCTGAGCATCACGGGTGCCCAACATATGAATAAGTTGATTACTACTTTCTAATCTTTCTTGCAATGTGTCCACGTCTGCATTGTTGTGGTAAGTTTTAAGACCATTTAATGTATCTTCCAATTCTCTAATAGTCGCATCAAAATTATTTTCTGATATTTTTGGTATTTTAGAATTGACCTGAGCTTGCTCAAGAAACAGTCTTTCTTGTATTATTTTATCATTCCTTAGCCGATTTTCTTCATTCTGTTTCTGTTGAACTTTTAACAATTTAACTTGCTTTTGTTTAGCATCCAACAACTGGTTCTCAGCCTTCTTTTTTAAATTTATCAGAGCATTTTGTTGCTCTTGTAGCATCAATATTTTTTGATTAGACTGTTCAACTTTATCCTCAATTTCATTTCTTTGAGATATGTTACTTTGATAACCAGAAGTACTCGGCTCTGAAAAGTTGTCTGTCCCATTTTCTATTACCTATTGTCATAAAATTATTTTAATTAAAGAAACAAGTAAAAAAACTAATATAAAGCATTTATTATTTTTTTATTTTAATTATGCAATCCACACAAAACCCACCCTTCTGTTAGTATTATAAGCAATAAATTTGTCTCCATAGCAAGACAAAACATCTACAATTTGGGAAAATTTCTGCACATGGTCGGACACAGCCAAATCCACGTATGAATTATCCTGTCAAGCAGTAATGCATTAGTGATACTTTAAATTGACAACATTTAGCAGTTAGTAGTTTTTGCATGCATGAGGTAATTAATTAATCCCCCTTTGAAACTAAAAGAAAACTTTAATGTTAATTGCACAATAGCACACATTTATCACCTCTTGTTCATTTTTTTCATGATTTTCTTTAGCAGTTTCATAAATGTTTAAAAGAGCTATTAATTTTGCTTCGCTGTCTTTCAGATCTTTTACCATTTTATCAAAATGTTCCTTTTCTTTCTCTACAGCCTTCACAAAAAAATATAATTACTTAAAAGAGATAGGAGATAGGTACCTAATATTATGAAAATCAAAGTAACCAACACCACTTCAATTTTTGTAATAAAGTTAAATAGTAACATTTAAAACCGTACAGAAAATTACCTGGGGATCTTCACTATTTTTTAGTGTAGACATTAATGAAGTAGTAACTCGCAAGTACTCCCTAATCTGATTTAGTTTGTCCTCAATTTTCTGTTTTTCTGGAAATTTGGAGACATTCTGACATTTAGGAATAGTTGCGACAGAATCTCTCCTTGAATTAGGTTCACTTATATTTGGAGGTAATAGTGCACCATTACCTGTACAAAATTAAATGATTTATTTGTTACACTTACAATTAATAAATACATACAATAATAACATATATATTGGTACTTACTGGTCATAGTTAGCTGATGTAGGTCACTATTATGTTGTGGTAAAGAATAATTATGATCATCAGCCAGAGATGATTCCATTGAATATGAGTTAAAGGAATGTATGTTATGAGTGCAGTTAGGACTCAGTCCAGAAAAATCCTGCCGCAACCAATCTGAACTCTAAAAAAAAGAAAGTTCTAATGCTGTTGTGCTGTGCAGTATTATTTTTAGAAAACTATTTTTGGAAGTTTAAATGATTGTTAGAATGAATGAAGACGTAAAAACGCCTACCTCTGCGACTCAAGTTAAGCTGTAACAAAGATAGTGACATAGAAGGGTTATACTAACCAAGTTATTCGGCACGACAGGACGTTGATGATGTGTGTATTGGTTTATCCTATTATTGCCATATTTTATTTTGGGGACTGTGCCCGTTCCTTTCTTTAGTAATATCTTTTTCCGATCTTCTGACATTTTAGATTAACAAAAACGATAGCTTTTTGGTATGTATTCTTATCTAGAAGAAAATATTAAAATACGAGTCAAATCAATTAATTAGTAATGTAGTAACATAAAACTTACATTAAAAGATATTATAAAGCTCATTACACATTTTTTATTTGTTGTTTTACGATTTATTTGAACTTATTTGAATGGCTAAAATAAAAACATTACTTTTATGACAGTTTGTCAAATAATAGTAAAATACAAGGTCCCTTCACAAAGTAGGAACCTAAATAAATATAGGGTAATTATTGAAATATTGATCAGTAAATGTACGGTAGAGAATGAATATCAGTAGCAAAAATAAAAAAAATTAAGTAGGTATACTGTAGTTTATTATTGTTTTACTTTTTAATTTCTAAGGCCAGACCACATCAATTATATATATTGGAATATTTTTTTGTAATATCTTTTTTCTTAAAATTATGATAAAAATATGTTTGTACTCAATTCCTTTTAAATGATACCCAAATAATATACACCGATTGGTTCTATTGAAAGTTTGAAATTTGTGATCTTAGACTTTTTCCTAAATTACACCATATGATGTTACTTTAGCTCAAAATTGAATATTTTGATGATAATATTTTTGAAGGGCATACAGACAAACAAACGGACGGACATAAAAGTGATCCTATCAGTTTTTCTTTTGATGTACCGAACCCTAAAAATTAGTTAAATATATCTCCAGCCCTTAATGAGTGCTGTTTTTAATGAATTTTCCAAATTAGACAGACTCGCTTTTCCAGCTAAATTATTTTCTTCTTCCGGGTCAAACAAATGATCGTAAAGTTCGGTAGCATAAACTTTCTTCCAGTTTGGAGTAAACTTTTCGTTGTCAAAATAAGTCCACATAGTATATCTAAATTGTTTTGTTTTGATTGAATATCCCATTATCTTTATTTCATGTAATGTAGGCTTGTCACTGTTTGGATGTTGTGTGGGAAAAGTTCCGGGTCTAGGGTACTGATAAAAGATTGCCTTTTTTCCTTCATATGCCTATAAATGACAAAATTTTGCAAAATGTATGTACATATATATTATGATGCCAATAAATAGGCAATTGCATTGTATTTCATCATTTTGTACGATAAAAATTGAAACTTTAAAATTTACATCATAGATTTTGTGACGATGGGAAAATTAGTGATTAAGTAAAAAAACGATTTTGTTCTTTGTGAAAATACGATAATGAAAACAACAGCTTCACATTTTCTTTAGTTTTTGAAAACTCTACATGTATAATGAATGAATATTTGATTGTGGAAAATTCTTGATTTAAAGAACATTTAATTTTGATATTTTTTATAAAAGTAATACTAACACCATAATCTTTCACTTATGCAGTAAGGGTCTTTACCTGTCCGTGAGCAAGTGATACCATTAGTGGTACTAAACTTTTTCCTTCCGTGCAAAGTTTTACTGTTTTATCTTTTGGACAAGTTTGCATACCACTACTTAAACCAGACAAATGTACGAGTGTGGGAAATAAATCCACTAATTCTACCAGTTCATGACTAATTATGTGACCTTCGTTAAGTTTTGGTACCCTAATAATCAATGGTACCTTAGCAGCTACTTCAAAATTACTATATTTGGCAAATTCACCATGCTCACCCATAGACCACCCTAAAACATTCGTATGTATGTTTTTTTAATACAATTACCAAAAATAATTCTGTTAAAAATACCATGATCACCAAACAAAACGATTATCGTATTTTTATCTACTTTTTCTAATAGTTTACCGATGAGATGATCGACATATGTAAGAGATGCGTGGTAACTTTGAATTATTTTTAACGTGACATTCTTAGGCATTCTACCAAACGGGAAAGAAATATTTAATTTTTTAATATCATCCCTTTTTCGCAAATCCGTCCAAGGATTCCAAGCAACGCTGGGCAACAAGGGTGGTTGAAACGAATTTTTCGGAAATTTTATTTTGTTCAATGGATGGAATGCTGCAATAGATATTATACTATTTGTAGAGAAATATAATAGTATTTAGAACGTGACGTACTTAAATATTCACTTGGAAATTTGAATGGTATATGGGGTTTGTGAAATCCAACTGCTAAGAAGTAAGGCTTAGAATTATTTTTTTGGATTTCCAAATATTTAATAGCTGCGTTTAATGATTGTTGGTCAGGGAGAATTTTTTGAGGCTGTTCTTCTAGTATTATAGGACAAATGAGGTTCCTAGCCAGGCCTCCATCAGAGGATACACAAACTTTTGCGTTTGTATATTTTTCAGTAGAAGGATGATATGGTTTTTTACTCCAACTGTATGGACTATCATCACTCCAATTTGATGATGCTCCAGGGTGAAATACTTTACCTAAAAAGATGTATTTTAATAAATCAATAAATTATTTCAATATTTGTCATTTTGCCTATTGAATAAGTGTGATAGCCATTTTCTTTGAAAAATTGAGGAATTGTCGTGAAATTGCCCACGACGTCTCGCCAGTAGCTATAAAAGTCATATAAATGCAATGAGTCTGGTCTTCGGCTTGTTAAAAATGAGTTTCTACTTGGAGCACAAAGAGCTTGCTATTAAAAACATATTCACATAATAAGTACATTGTAAATCAGAAAATAAGCAACTTTTTGACCTGAGCATAAGCCTTTGTGAATAAGTAACTCTTTGCAGCAAGTTTATTTATATTGGGTGTATATGAGTTTTGATCACCATAAACTTGTAAAGAAGGTCGTAAATCGTCTACAACTAAGAAAAGAATATTAGGTTTCGCGTATGTTGAACTTTTTAAAAGTAAAAATATAATAAAAAACTGCAGTTTAAACTTCATGCTGTATTTATTCTATTGGCTCCTAATGCTCCTGATTTTTGTTGATTTTACTGATTTGAAGCACTACTGTAATTTGGGTTACATAGTGCAACTCATACAACATATCTATATTATGACAAAAAAACTTTATATGAGGATTATTACTGACTTAAATAATTAAAGTGTTTAGTTGTACTACTTCTGTTCTATTTATTTTTCTTTTAATACATTAGCAAAATTTCATCATTTTTTATCAATATAAAAAACGCGGACGCGTTGTCAATTCTCAATTGTCAGTTGTGTTTATGTTTGTCGTATTTGTATCAAACGTATGAGAAACTCATAACAACCCATAACATGAACACTCATCAATTCGTAAACATGCTTTGGTCACGAAAGCAGAAAATAATTGATTGATCAATGATTTCTGCTGATTTCTAGTTTATATGTCTTTTATAAAGAATAAATAGCATGTTTCCTTTGGTTTACATTCGTTTGTATTTAATCGATTGTGATGTGGAGTAGTCAGTTGTGTATCTAAGTGCAGAAACGTTTTATTATATAACTTCTAAAAGATTCTGAGATATTACAATGGATTTACGTGTTCAAAAATTAGAACAACAGGTATTTAATATTTAAAAAAATGCTTATTGTTATTAATTCGTTTCTATTACAGCGACAAATTATGGAACAGAAAATGAAACAGAAGCGTCAAAATTCAGGAATTATACAGGCATCAGACTCCAGAGGTAGTTCGGCTAAATTAAGACTTAATGGAGACAAAAAAGAATTACATGGTTGGTAGATACTAGGTTTTAATAACAGTTTTAATTTAAACATAATTGAAATTCTTAGGTTATGATGGTCCTTTACAGTATTCCTTATATCGAGACAATAATCCTGATCAAACAATTTCACTTTCACCCAGTAACGATAATTTGCATGGTAAGAGTCTTAGTTTTATTAAATATTTTATTTTGAATTACAAATAAATGTTTTCAGATTCACAAATAGATGATTTAGCGAACAGTGCATCAATTGATTTAGTAGATATAGAAGATGAAGAATCTTCACCAGTAACTATGACAGTGTCTAACAACAATGGAAATGTGCCTGTTAGTCCAATTATAGATAAATCTAAAGCAAAGTATCCTATAAATTCAGTGAGTAATTCAAATTTTATTTTATTAAACTGTTTGATAAGAAACATGTATATTTTTAAGGTTCCTGAAGTTGAAGGAGATATAGAAGGTAACATAGAAAAATTTGTTTTACAACCTGCATCTCAGAAAGTTTTATATAAATGTCGGATTACAAGAGATAGAAAAGGAATGGACAGAGGATTATATCCAACATACTTTTTACACCTTGAAAAGGATTATGGAAAGAAAATTTTCTTGTTGGCTGCAAGAAAAAGAAAAAAGAGTGCTACCAGCAATTACCTGATATCAACAGATCCTACTGATTTATCAAGAAGTGGTGAATCATTTGTTGGTAAGTCACAGATATTAAATTAAACAATTAAGGGCATCTATTAATTATTTTTTTGTTTCAATCCAATTATGTATTTTTTCTGCCATAAAAAGAAATATTTTTTTATTCAAGTACACACGTTTGTTTTACTTTTAAGGAAGAATCAGAGATACAGCAATTTCATGAGTAAATCATTTGGTCATTTTTAGAAATATGTAATTTAATTTTATTTGTTATACCTAATTAAGTATCAGTAATTTCATTGTAAACAAAAATTCGTCAAATTATATGATGTTTTGTCACAATTATAATTCCTGAATCATAAATATCAGACAACTAAAATAAATTACTGAAGTAATCACCAAAAATTGTTTTATATTTATTAAGTATTATGTTTATTCTTTCATTATCAATTATTTAGTAGATCTGGTGCAATTTTTAATAATTAAAATGAAAATTCAGTTGATTTTAACATTATTATGTAATACCGTAAATTACGAAATTTTTAATTACAATTTTCTTGTTTATTATAAATATAGACATGAAGTGCTAATAGGATATTTATGTATTTTAATCTTTTCTGTTGATTCTCTAAATTTGCTATTGCAATAATTTTGTTAGTGTAACATATTTAATCCTCTTATCAACTATAAAGACCATAAATTGTAAACGTTTGATGTTTTTCAAGTATTCATTGCATTTTTTATCTTAAAGGTAAATTAAGGTCCAATCTCTTGGGTACTCAGTTCACTATATATGACAACGGTATTTCACCGCGCAAAATCAATGGTTTGGATGATGGTGTGGTACCTAGACAAGAGCTAGGAGCTGTAATTTATGATACCAATGTGTTGGGTTTCAAGGGTCCCAGAAAAATGACTGTCATTTTGCCTGGTATGACCCTCGAGCAACAAAGAGTCGTCATTTACCCTCAAGACGAGAGCGAGAGCCTGATCGAGAGTTGGAAAGCAAAGAACATGGACAATCTCATTGAATTACATAACAAAACTCCTGTATGGAATGACGACACGCAGTCATACGTCTTGAACTTTCATGGACGTGTCACACAGGCATCTGTTAAGAATTTTCAGATCGTGCACGACAGCGATACTGACTACATTGTAATGCAATTTGGTAGAGTAGCTGAGGATGTGTTCACGATGGACTTCCGGTATCCGTTATGTGCAGTGCAAGCATTCGCCATTGCTTTGAGCAGCTTTGATGGAAAAATTGCGTGCGAATAAGCAACGGTTTAAAACGGTTCCTTTATGGACACGTTACGTTTTGATGTGACTAATCATCTGTTTGTTTTACAGGTAAGGCAAGCAACATTTTTTAACTTAAACGACGATTGATTGATGATATTACAAAATAATAAAATGAACGTGTATTGTTTAAATAATTTTGAATTATCTTATGCATTAGACATAATTGAAGTTTTTGGATTTTTGAATATTATTTCAGTAACAATATTGTTTCTGAAATAGACTGAGACGTGATTGATGAGAACGATAGATTCAAAATTTTCCGAATTTTTTAATTAATTACTTTTGATACTTTTATAATAAAAGTTGCCCTTTATGTAGAGTAAATGTTGATTTATTTACAAGATTTTGTATACATATAAAGCACTTATGTTGTTAAATAAATCGTAACGTTCCTATAAGTATAGTAAATTAAGCTGCAAAGGCAGATATTAAAATTGACAAAAATAAAAATGTGTCGACTAAAACAAAATTTGTCATTTTTCAATTAATGAGTTGTGCGGTGCTGTCAGTTTTAAGGTTTGCTTCTACCGAAATCGCATTTTACATGAAACTTGAGAATTCTAGTCTAATAATTAATTTTTATTTCCAAACAGAAAATTTTCCACTTTGTTCATTACAGTATTTTTAAAAGTTATACTCTTTGAGTAATTTATATATCTAGTTATTAAGTAACTTTATGAATTTAATTTATAATATTTTTAGTAAACTTTTTTTCTTATCTTCTTGATTTTTCTAATTTTGGAGGATGTCTTTTTTATATTTTTATATAGCGTATTTAATTTTAAATGTAAATCGAAATTACGCGCAATAAAAGCATTAATTTATGAAATGTATAGTACAAGTTATTAGTATTATAAATTAGTTTTCTTTGAGAAGTACTTCACAAAAACACATTTTTGTTCTTATATTAATATATTAAAACAATTGCTTTGAAAGTGGTGTGTATTGTAAATTTTATTTGGATTATGTAAACATCCAACGTTTTCATTTTTGGATGTATATGCATCTTTACGGCATTTTTAAGGAAAGATCAAAAAATAGCAAGTGCCATTATTTTATAATAGGAAGTACAAACCATTCTTTATACTCGAATTTTTTGAACCTGGTCCAGGGTTTTCTGTAGAAATTGATCTGAACTTTCTAAAAATTATTCGTACTATTTTATTCCATAAATGTTATAATTAAATAAAACATGGTTGTAAATACTACTTAATTAAACAACACTTTAAAGCGAAAACCTTGTTTCTATCGGTACAATAATTTATTTCATTGGGTGCCTTATAATGCATAAAAAAATATTTAAGAAAATTAAAAAAATTATTAGGTCATCTTAATCACATTCATTACATTTTACCATCTACGTACTACGTCAGATACAATATCTAATTAGTAATTTGATTGCTAATACATTTTTTTTTATTTGCATTCACTTGTGAATATGGGTGAACACCAGCTTTTTTAAAATGTGATTTTTTAATTAAAAAACGCGGTTCCCAATCATTCTGAATATTTATAGTTCTCTTTACAAATTAATAACGAATTTATCCTCAAATTTTCATTAAATTGTCTGTGTTATATCACTTTAGAATGCCCTGTCACGTCAGGAAATTGTGCATTCTTATAAGAATGCATGTAAATTTGACTAATGAATGTCTTAAACTATTCTCCCAATGCCCTTAAAGTTTTGCAAGGATTTTTTTTAAATATTAATGTCTTATTTATTTTCAAAGTTTCATCGAATTCCCTCCGTTATTTTTTTTTTTATTTAACGACAATTACAAATCAAACATTGGGACTGTTTAGAGTAACATTATAGTAACTGAGACTGTACTTTCAGCAAGTACTATGTAGCTTTATAACAATTAAAAATTACATTCCATATCTAAATCAAAAGATTGTTATTCTCTAATGTCGTTATGCAATTAAAATTGTTTTTTTCATATTGTTTGAATTGTTTCCTAGCAGTGCTTATGAAATATATTAAAAATTGAAAATAATATGTGTAGTTGGTTAGTTTTCGGTTTTATACCTATTACATTCACTAAGGATCCTTTAAGCTACATATTTAAATAAGAAATGAATTTGTTTGATTTTGGAGCTTAACTGATCTTTCATATGTAATTAAATCATGGGTATTGCATTTTCATACTGGCTGCATTACATATCATCTGTGTATGTGAGTTGTGATGCGACGTACAAAAATATATAATGCAGAAATTTAGGACGTGTCTATATTAGCAATGTTATTTTAATTAATTGGTGTCAATTATCGTACCTGTGTAATAAAAAAAACTGTTAATAACAAAATGGTCATACTTTGTAAGTATTTGATTAGAAATGGAAATTAAAAACTAAATGTTACAAGGTATGAAAATCTTTTAAAAACTGTGCTTTAGGATCTCTCTGTGGTATTTATCTCGGTTTCGTAGTTTAGTAACAGTTAATGAATGTAAAACAGAATATTATGTACATACTTTTCTTTTATTACGGTTTTTTTGTAATTCTATTTCTAATCGAATGTATCAAATATCATATAGATTTTACCAACACAAATTAAAACATTTTTTTAGAAGATTTACCTGACTTATTGTTAATCATATTTCCTTTAAAAGTAAAAATGTACTTCGAAAGTAGCGGTATTGACTGGTGCTTGTCATGAACAATCAGTGTGAAATTCTGTTGCCTTTTTCTTATCGTGTGATATATTTGTACTTACTGTTACATTGTAGTTGACAAGTATGAAAAAGACAGTATTTTGTATTATATTACATGCATCTATGTTATACACTTGTGCTCAAGCATTTAATATGGTTACAGTTAGAAATAGTTTTTTAAACTACTAATTTATTCTTTTTAAAAATAGGGCACACTTTCATTACCGTGCAAATTATTTATTATTGTTTGAAATTTGTTTCAGTATGTACAGAATTCATTGTGTGATTATTGTTTATAAACTTTTAATAAAAAACGATGCACCAATTAATTTCATTTTAATAAATAACTATTTAATTTTAATGCAAAATTGTTTTTTTTTAACAGTTAAACCAGTTGCAATGGGATTTTACAGATTTTTATAGATATAATAAAAATAAAAGGAGATATCCAGAAGCGATCTACGCTTATTTTTTTTTTTAATTTTTCACGCAGATTATGTTGCAAATAATAGCTTTATGTATATTTAAATGGATGAAATAACAGTTTTAAGAATAACACTTCAAAGAACCACAATAATGATCAAATTTTATCATTATGTTTGCTAATTTGCAATTCCTTAGGTTCGTGTCAGTCCATATAATAATTTCATGATATATTCCTAATGAATATCAAGTGGGTAAAATTTTTATACATGCGGATGACAAC